AAAAGAGAGAGAGAGAGAGAGAGAGAGAGAGAGAGAGAGAGAGAGAGAGAGAGAGAGAGAGAGAGAGAGGGAGAGTTTACCAGAAGAAGGTGGAGAGGGGATGACCCAATCGCCAGGGGAAAAATTCTTAACTGCTGCGCCCATAGAGTGTACCACACCAACCCCCTCATACCCTCCAACTGCTGGCACTGGTGGCCTCACAGGGTAGACACCTACCACAGCATATACCAAACTCAGTTCAAAAGCACATACAAAATTTCCAATTTCCACAAAATTGACACCAACCAAACCTTCAATTCGATTAATATCAGAGGGATTAATAGGAGCAGCGAGCATTCGAACGCACACATCGTTTTCTTTGATTTCAACTGGCGGGAGCTCGGTTACTCTGCATCTTTTAATCGTTACGAATATGATATACAAATTACATGAATGCAGATATAACTTGAGCACCGTATGTTGATCGATACTAGTACATAATTTAGAAGTAGCGAATTATAAATTGAGGTGATTATAAAGAGAAAGAGGGAAGTAGGGACCTGGTGACGGAATCGGGAGGGCCGTGTTGGTCGTAGACTACGGCCGTGGACGGTGGTGACATGGCGGCGGAGAAAGCTCGGACTGTGAAGATTTGAGTACGAGGGAAGAGACATCGCGATAGCGACGATGATCCATTGAGAAGTCTTAGGGTTACTAACCTCAGTGTCGCCATTTTAATCAGAGAACTCTTTCTCTCTCGAGAAAATGCAGAACACTCTTCTTCACTTTGTCTGTGAATTCCTCGTTACTATTGGGCCTGTTTTCGTTTGTAATTGGACCTATTCAACCGTCCACCCACCCGATATGCTAAGGTACCCCATATTGAGACTTGGCCTGTTTGGGCCTTGGAACCTTCTCAAGTTAGGCTCGGAAGCAACACTAGTACGACCCATTGAACCATTAAATTATAGAAAAATTTGGAAGTCGATATAAAAATTTAGACTTAATTAAATTAAATCATATTAAGAAAATTTATTCGGACCTAAGTATATTTTTTTGAATAAAAAGACTAAAAGATCATTTATTACTCCATTACTCTCATTCTCATTCTCCATTACTCTATCACTTTCTTTTTCCTATTTTCTCTCTCTCTCCCTCTCTATTTTTCTTTCTCCCATCGGTAATTTATTTTTTTTTTCAAATTTATAAAGATTTGATTTAATTTTTTCATCTCTCTCTCCCCTATTTTCTCTCTCACTTTCTCTCCCACTATTTTTTCTCGTCGTTACTCTTTTTCTTCTTATTCTCTTTATATTAATATTACAACAACACAATTATACCAATCAGTTACAGTAATTCGTTATAAGTATACTATAATATACCAAACAGTTATTCATGCGTTCTAGCAAACTAAAGAGTTACACCCAACAACTACATGAAATTACGACATGAACCCAACTTTTAGTATCAAAGAGTTACATAAGTCTTTTAGTATCAACCCAACTTTTAGTTGTTTACATAAGTCAAAAAGTTACATTATTTAGTATCACAACATGGTTACACCAATTATATAGATCAAAGTAGGTTTATCATTATACAAAATAGTTTACCACTACACCAAATTTAGTGTATATAATTGGTGTAACCATATCGTGATATTAAATAGTATTACTCTTTAGTTTATATAAACAACTGAATGACAAATTGAGTTGATGTCATAATTTTGTGTAATTGATTTATTAAAACACATGAGTAACTGTTTGGTATATTATAGGATAATTAAAACTGATTGGTGTAATTTTTTTGTTGTAACGTTGATATAATAGAGAATAAGGAGAGAGAGTAACAGTGAAAGAAAATAGAGAGAGAGAGAGTGACCGAGGGAGAGGGAGAAAATAGGGGAGAGAGATGAAAAAATTAAATTAAATCTTTACATATTTTAAAAGAAAATAAATTATCAATGGAAGAGAAAAAAAAAAATAGGGGAGAGATATAGATAATAACAGAGAGAGAGATAGAGGGTCCGTTTGTTTAGCGGGAGAATGGTAGAAAATGCAAGAAAGAGAAAAATTTTAATATTTTTATGTGTTTGGTTAGCATGAAGTGAAAAATGATAAAAAAAAAATAATTTTGTTTCATGCTTGAATTTTCTCACAACTAACTAACTTTTTTTTCTTGTACAAAACACAAGAGATTCGTTTGGTTAGGAAGAAAAAAATGATGAAAAGTAAAAATGATAGAAAGTGAAGTGAAAGAAAAGAAAATGATAGAAAATATATTTGCATGCATGTATTTAGTTAGAATGAAAAATTTACAGGAAAATTTTTTAAAAAAAATTATTTTTTTGTTTAAAATAAAGTAAAGTTGTAAGAAATTTTTTATAATTGTCTAAATTATCTTTAATTATATTAAATTGGTCTAAAAAGAAAAAATATGTAATTGCAATTGAACGTTAATTTTTTTAAAAAAAGTGGTTCGAAACCTAATTCTAAGACAATCACCAACACAAAGGTTTTTGGGCCAAATATTATATGATTAATCAAATTCATGCCAAAATTTTTTTAAATTAATAACTAATCTAATATTTAAAAAAAAAAAAAAACAAGGGCAAAATGGGAGGTTAGCTATAGATTACAACTTTCTTGCATTTCCTTGTATTTTTTATAAGAAAAAAAAGTTAGTTATTTGTGAGAAAATTCAAGTATGAAATAAAATTATTTTTTCCACCATTTTCTTTTTCATGCTTACCAAACACATTAAAATTTTAAAAAGTTTTTTTTTCTTACATTTTTTATCATTCTCTCGCTAAACAAACGAACTCATGGGGTCCATTTGGTTAAAAAGAAAAGAATGATGCAAAGTGAAAATGATAGAAAGTGAAGTGAAAGAAAAGAAAATGATAAAAAAATATATTTTCATGCATGTATTTGATTAGAATGAAAAAATTGCAAGAAAGTCTAAAAAAAATTTCATTCTATTGTTTGAAAAAAAATAAAAGTACAATAAAATTTTTTTAATTGTCTAAATTATCCTTAATTATATTAAATCGGCCAAAAGAAGAAAAAAATATGTACTATAATTAAAAGTTAATTTTTTTAAAAAAGTGGCTTGCAACCTAATTCTATAACAAGCACTCATACGAAGGTCTTTGGACCAAATTATATAGTTAATGAAATTCATACCAATATTTTTTAAAATTAATAACTAATAAAATATTTTAAGAAAAATAAGGGTAAAATTGAAAGTTAGATATAGATCAAAACTTTCTTGCATTTTCTCTGTATGCCCTTTTATATCCTATATGATTGAAATATAAATTAGTTGGACAGTATATATGGTAATATAATGTTGAGATGTCAGAGGAGTCCCACATCGGTTGGTGATGAAGGGTTCTTTGGCCATATAAGGAAGTGGGTCACTCCACCTACTAAGTATGCCTTTAGGTGCATGCACTTTTTGGATTAAAAACCCATGCCCAACAAGTGGTATAAGAGTCATGGTCCATTCCACCATGTGGACTTAACTCCTTGTTAGATGAGAGAACAGTGATAATTATCCATTATGGTGGTGTTTGGATCACTATGAAAGGATTGGATTGGATTGGAATCCCTCACTCAATCCAACCCAATGCAAAGTGGTCTAGATTGGAGGATTATAAAGATGAGATTCAAATCTTATCCCATCTTTGGATAGGTTTCATTTGGTTTGTGGGCCCCATTAACATGTGAAGATAAGTCATAGTAAAATGACCATTTCACCCTTGTGTAAAACAATGTGATCCAATCCTATACCATGATTGGAATGGAATGAAAAAAAAATCCAATCTATTAGTATTGTCTATTTTACATCCAAAAATATTAATAAATAAATTACGCATTTTTAAAAAATATTGCAATAAATATTTTGTAAAAATTATTTTATTTAATTTGTACAATACACTTTTTATCACAAAAATCATATGCATCATGGAAAAAATAATAATTTCCAACACAAAAACAAGACACATATCGATACAACTCAAGTCTAAGTCGTTATTTGTTTATTTGTAGAAAATTCGAAGTTGTGTGTTTAATAATAAACTTAATTGTTTATTTTTAATAAATAGCAAAATTAATCCGAACCATATTTAATATTTTCAATGACCAAATTGCAATATATTATCCAAAATGGTAGGGCATTTTAATTTTATTGCATGAAGCACTAGCACACATCATTTCAATTTAAAATATGTTGCTTTAATACATATGCTAATTTTTTTTAGATTTCTTGTATAAGGAAAGGAAAGGATGAGCAAAAAGTTTTCAAGATCTTAAAATTTAAAAATGTAATGATACGTAACTCCCCAGAACAATTATTATTTTTTAATGAGACCCAAACCATTTCATTAGACCGAATATTTTCACACACTTACTCTCAAATCATGAGCTTCCATGCTACATTCTGTCAATTGCAAGAGAATTTATAACGATAACAATTTAGTTCAAAAGTATAACAGAGTTATACGCTAATTTTTGAATAATGACCAGGGGTACAGTGTAAAAAAACCAAACCACTATCGTATTAACTAGATTTGTGTCATCTTCCCTGAGGTCCAGATACTTTGGCTTCTGCATCAGACACAGACAAAGAGAGAGAGAGAGAGAGAAACTTCTGGAAAGCATTAGAGATAAGGCAGCTGACCTCGCATGATACTAACCTTTCTCAGTCGCCTGATAGGGAGATGAAGGGACCATTAAAAGGGAGCTAAGCAGTCTAATAACCCGCCTGATCAGAAAAATGAAGGAGCAATTGATAAGTGTTCTCTGTAATGAGATGAAGTAATTCGAATGATAGGTAGTTATTTTAAGGAAAATTTTATCAAAGTATAAAACATTTGCTTTCCTAAGGTCTCTGATGTTTTGTGAGCTGTATCGTATTGCTATGTTTCTTTGCGAAATGGAAGTTGTAGGATTTTAATGAAAGTTAGCTATTACAATTTGCAAATGCATTGTGATCAAATTATTGGTGGCCTACGTTCAAAGAAACCACAACAAAGAGGTAATTAGCTCTTTCTTTTCTTTGGCAACAGTGGAATTGACTAGGAGGGGAGGAAGATTGCAGTATGGGAATACATAAATGACAAACAATGTGAATACTTCTTGCAATATTGATCAAAGTAGCTAGTTCTACCCTATGGAATGCTCTATTCAACTTTGATTTCTGATTGATTACCATTTTTGTATGACACCACAAATCTTGATCTAATGGTTCACATGCTGGGATTTTATGATGAAGACAAGCAAAGGATATGTTTGATCAGCAAGGAGCAAGTACAGGTGTTGTTTAGGGCTGTCTTAGGTTTCCCAGGCCGTCTAGTATGTGGTAGCTTGGGTGGAGGTTCAGCCGAAGTTCCCTCAAAAATATCATCTGAGAATCAGGTATCATTTCTTTTTAATTTACACAGGATTTCCTATTCTGATATCTCATTATTTGTGTTTTCAATAGAATGTTTGATCCATTTCTTCTCTACTGGTGAGGAAATGTTTGAGGAAGAGTGATGTATTTCTATTCTTATAGCAATGAACGAATTAGAAGATGACCCTTTGTGGTACTCCTTATTGCAGTTCTGTCATCTGTTATATCTTTATTTTTGTCTCTCAGAAGTATATGCGCAAGGTAACTTGTTTTTTGAAAACTTTTATGGATTAAAACATGTCTTTAAATGTAATAGCTGTAAAGGTTTGTGAACATTAT